CTGTCCAGAAGAGTGCAGTGCTAGGAACGGCTAAGATTCTGCGCAGAACCCTCAAACTCCCAGGCCTCTGGTAGAGGACCCGAGATTGAGGAAGACACAGACCACCCATCGGGGTGAGAGGGGATTCTGTTTGTTTCTCCACAGCAGTACATGTGGGTGCACACAGGAAGAGACATCTGCACCTGCATAGCATAAATCTCTGCCTCTGTATTCAGAACGGCTGTGTAAATTTGTATACTCCAAATTGTATGCAGTTGAAAAAAGCTGGTAAATTTTGTGTATCTACAGAGAAGAGGCAAATCTTCCCATCATTTCTGGTTTACTGTCTAATATTTCAGGCCAAGGACAACAGAAATAGGACCATGACAGCTGCCTGAAGATATCCATTCTCCCTGTCAGCAGTATAAATAGCAAGGAAACCAGGACGTTCACCTGGAGTGGGGGAGAGACCCAAAGTCCAAGTTTCAAACCCTCCCCAAAATATTTTACTCGCCAGAATCTCACTTCTCTCTCTAAAGACACAGGATTCTGTAACAAAAAAGGCACTTACATCTGTCTGGGGTCCTTTCCCAGCTCCTGGACACTCAAAAGTGACAAATTCATGACATCTTTTGTGTACGACAAAGCTGCATACTGAGACAGGGTACAGAGAAGAAAAATTTTGTTGAAAAATATAGGTTTGACATGGAGAAAACAACTGGGCAAAGGAATGAGCAGTAAAAGAAAGAAACAATGGGGAAGAACATGGAAGGCCAGAAAAAAATTATTATAAGAATCCTAGGATACGATTACAGATGTTTCTAAAAACTGACATCAGAGAGATGTGAACTTGCTTTATCTTAGTTCATTACTATCTGCCCTGACAGGCAGTGGGTCTCCAATCTCTTCAGCTATTTTTATCAAAAACTGAAAATGATAGGAATTGAAAATATTTGCAATAAAATATATGCAATTACAATCTTGTCCTCCATGTTACATGCTCCAAAGAGTCCTTTTATCACCCATAAGATTTCACTGAAACAGTAAAGGGAAGGAAACAATCCTTTTAAAACCTAAGCAAGGTCGTGCCAGACATAAAAAAAAGAAATGGAGGCATAATTCATAGTACTATATTCACAAGACAGATCTGTCTGAGGTCTCTGTGCACGTATAAGAATCCTGTTCTTCAACTTCCAGACTAGCCCTGCTTGATCGTGCATCAGTTTTTGCTTATATCAAAAACCAAGTTTTAAAAGGTATTCCAAGAATACAGGGCTATATCTGAGACGCTATTTTGGCAGATGAAACTTAAAAAGGCCTAAAGACATTCTGAGAGTGACACCAAATTGCTCAGAAAGCATGAATTATGAGCAAACATGCAAGATGTGACGTTTTCAAGTGGTTCCTGCAGTTGTTTGTCTGCAAGTCAGCAAATATTTTACGGTATTGATCTTGAGTCTCCTGCTAAATGCAAGCCACCGGAACCTGTGGCTTGGGCTTTCTGTGGACAGAAAAGCCTAGATGCTAATCCAGGAGGGCAGGTGTGGGGTGAGAGAGTGATTTTGTTCTCACCTACATCCCCCCCCCCCAATACCTCTTCTGCCTTCTGCAGCTTTAGGCCTGAGATTTGGAAGATGGGTCTCTATGGCAACAAGCAGGGACAATTTATGAGTATCCAGCTCAGCGGGGGAAGAGATTGGACCAAATTGGAGGCAGGAGGAGAGAAGATTTTTGCAAAGGGTGGTTCCAGATGGAGAGTTCCTAGCTGTCTAATCAAAAGATACTTTGCCGTTACTCAAGCCTCCCTCCTTAACAGATTTTGTGTGGTAAATTAAAAAAAGGGGGGAGGGGGAACACAGGAAGGTTACAAACAAAAGACAATTTGCTCCAGGCCCTCATAAAAGTTCCACAAATGAGGCAGAACAGCTGCAGATTAAAAGCTTTATCTGGAAGCATCCATGGGAAAACAGCAGGAATCTTTGGCTTTGGACCTCTCACTCCAGCTTTAACCTGCCTGTCTCTTTGGACTGAGACCGTTTATTATATAATCCACTAGATCACAATCTTCCTCTATTGTTCCCCTCGCCAAGCACTCCCCACCCCAAAACAAGTATATTTCTAGCCAGGCAAACTCATCAGGTACTTGACCCAGAGCAATGAGCAGGGGACATCCCATTGTTGCAAGGTTTGGGGTTTTTAAAGTGCCGCAAAACGAAACTGACCCTTGCTGCTCTTCCTTGTACATGAAGCTGCAGGGGATACCTTAGGAACAAGCCAGCATCAGGATCTCCTCACTAGCTCCCCCTCCTTATCCCCAATCCCTATCTTTGGCTGAGCCATTTCTGTAAACATCTCTGGGTTCCCATAGTAACAGATATCCTAGCCGAAGCCCCCCTGTATGTGGGTCTCCTGCCTCCAGCCTGCGCAAGGCAAGCGTGATGTGCAAGCCATGTGAGAGAGAGGGGAATGTGGTGGTCTATGAGAGCTGGGAGGGGAGAGTTGCCCAGTGGGGCTGCGGTCGATCTTGCTGAGAGACGATCTGGGAGAGCAAAACAGGTGAGAGCATCTGGATGCTCAGATGCTTATGGCAGAGTTGAGCCATGCACATTTGGAGTGAGAGGGGACCACGGTTGATTGGCAGGTGTGATGTAATTGGCAAGTGAGGAGAGGGTGTCGCTTAGCGATCTCCCTGACAGCCCTAGTGTGGTTTCTTAGCAACCATCAGGTCTAGGAAGTGATTTCTAGAACGTCATCCAAGTTCAGGGGAGGGGGCAAGGGGAGATGGCTCACCTCCCCAATGCCTACTGAGAGGGAGGGGAGCTGAACCTGAGTAACATGGAAAGAGGCCGAGTAGGATGACCATTAATATGAAGCTGTGTAGATAAGTGATTTTGAAGGATGGAGATTTTCTAAATCCTCAGGTGTAACTATAAAGGGGCTAACTCTCTGTGTAATGGGCAAAGAAGGAAATACCACACGGGCAGAAAGTGCCATGCCTGAGAAAATGTGCATGCCCACACACCACTAGAGTTATATATTTGTGAGGATTTTTTTTGCACCTGTTCATATGCAAGAGGCTGAGCGTGCACAAGATAGAGCTGCTTGTATATATTAGACATACAAAAGTGGAGACGTTAGAGATGTTGAGAGCAGGGGGGTCAACGTATCTCATGAGTCAAGTGCAATGTCTATGCACAAGCAGGAACATTCCTTTAACGTTCTCGCCATTCCCAGTCAAAATATATAATAAAAGCAACTCCAGTGGGTTTGTGCCTTATCTACGAAGAAACCTTAGCTGCGTGTCTCTAAGCTGCATGTAATTCCCACCCCGTTCCTCATTCCCCCGCCTTTCTTTTGTGAAATGTAGATGGGAAGCTATAATTTTTCACGGGAAACCGGTGGCGGGGAGATGTTTCTTTCTGTCTGCAGTAGAAGGAAATATATAGATTTCTATCCCAACCCCCACTGTGGGATGAAAAATAGCTCAGCAGGAAAATCTCTGAAAGGAAAATAATTAAGAGGACTTTCTTCCTCTGGTCCTCCACAAGGAATTAGAAAAAATATTACACGTAAATGATTGTAAAAGGGAAAAAAATGTGTTGGTAGAAACTACATTTGATTCACTTTCATCTGCCGGGATTCTAAAAATTAGATCCCTTTCATGGGTTACCATTTGCTGCTTGGGAAAAGGTGTATCACAAAAGCAGGGCATTGAGGTCATCTAGTTAGCTCCAGCTCAACTGGAGAAGCTTATAGTTACAGTATCTCTGACCAGTGGTCATTGAGCCTTTCCTTCAGCACCTTCAGTGAAGGAGATCTGATCACCTTCTAAAGCCATACTGTCCCACAGTTCTTACCAGCTCCATGAACAAGAAATCACCTTTGCTTAACGTTTAACTGAAATTTGCCACCTGCAATCTCTTAGTTTTGGAAATAGCTAAGATGCTAGGAACAATATAATTGAAGTGTCTCACTGCTGGGTTCACACATTGTGCTAAACCCTGGTTTAACCACACTGTTGAACAAGCTATAGTGGTTTGATTCACATATAACGCTAAGATATAAACCATGGATTACAAACTGAAATAGTGGCTTTTCACAATGCATTAATCTCAGACTAAATAATGACATTATAGCTTAATTGCTTCTTGGGAAAAGGTGTGCATAAAATAATATACTATCACAAAAGCAGGGCATTGAGGTCATCTAGTTAGCTCCAGCTCAACTGGAGAACCTTATAGTTACAGCATCTCTGACCAGTGGTCATTGAGCCTTTGGTGTGAACCTAGCCGTTGCTTTCTAATGTTTGGTAGGTACGTCCATCCTCATGGGGCCTAGTCTTAGGATAGCTGTTAAAGTGAGCAACCCTTTTCCTGGATCTTTTCCTGCCAATCAAATTTCATTTCTCACTCCATTCTTATTCCTCTACTCTAGCTCTCATCAAATGAGTCTAACTTTTCCAATTTTGAATGATCTGGCATATACCCAGATCTCTGCACCTAACTAAACCATCTAATTAGATACGTAGCTATGGTGCTGCATACCTTTCCACTTTTACTCAGTGTTGGTTGGCCAGACCACACAGAGTCTCTAGTTCAGTGTTGTCCAAACTTGGCCACTTTAAGATGAGTTGAAGTCCACTCATCTTAAAGTAGCCAAGTTTGGACAACACTGCTCTAGTTCCTCTAATTGTTGAGATTTAATGCTGCAGGAGCAAAGAGGCAGTTGAAGCTGACAACAGGGAAACAGAAAGGCGCCAAGTGGAAAACAGTGTGTTGGCACTGTACCGAAGTTCGGTGGGAGAAAGGGTCAAACATATCTGCCAAGAAAATGTAGGTATGGGGCTTGTTCCCAGGGTAGCTAGTAACGCACCACACAAGGCCAGTTCACATGTTGACATATTCACCCTGCATCTGGATGGTTACCTTCTACATAGTCTGAAAAAATATAGAAAAGATCTTTATCACAGTTGGACATTTCGTCCTACTGCCAGTGGCCTTTTGGGGGAAAAGGGGACTACATGAACTATCATTGGAAGGGCAGACAATGGACATATGTACAAGATCAGACTTCCCCAAATTGGCACCCTCCAGATACACAGGAATTTACTCCCATTGTCTCCAATCGGCATGCATTGGGAGGGGTATATTAATTGCTGGTCTTACACAGTCTTGGTGGGATAAAACAGCCCCTCTAGATGAACAAAATGTAAACAGGAATACACGAATACATATATATTCTGATAGGGAGCACAAGCAAACAGGACAGGTGAAAAAACAAAGGTAGATTTGGCCTGAAATGCCAGGCCCGAGGGTGGTGAAAGAGAGAGATCTGTATATAAAAATACAAGAATGAAAGAGACATTTCGCAGTCCTAAAATAGACAAAGGAATGTAGTTCAGGGAAACAATAAAACTGGATCAGGGGCTCTGCGTGTGCGCATAAACTGCTTGATTAAAATGGGAATTAGGGAAATTAGAGGCAGCCCGGCCCAGCCCCCACACCCTCAGCTCTCCCTTGCCACCAACATCGAGCACTCCTGAGTCTCAGCAATCCCTCAGGAAGACCTTAGCTTGATAAATACACCCACTGCGGCTATGTCCAAAAACCACGGGTTAACCAACATTGCCTCTTACTCTGCTTACAGCTCATAGTAGTCTTTTCTACTCAAATAAGAGAATTTATTCTAAATAGAATTTGGCCTTTTCCCCAGTAACTCCTATCTCTTAAGATGCAGACATCAGACACAAGACTGTCATTTTAAAAAAACTACATTTACTGCTTACCAACCCCCTGTTAGTCAAGAGCAAGCTACCATTCAGAACCCAGAATGCTCCTGCTCTGATCCAACCAAGCCGACTCAAGAGAATCTCTGAGCATGTGCAGAGCACACTCCTTCTCTTAACAATCACTTGCTAAACACTCCCCGGCCCCATGCTTTCTGGGCGCAAGGGGTGTGACGGCAGCCCCCACATCATCTCTTTTGGAGAACTGTAATTCCTTTCCCTCCTACAGTATAATCCTGCTGCATTACTCCATACGCATGACTGTGCTTTCACACCATGTGGCACTCTAATCAGGAAAAGAGCACCACGCCAAGAGTATTGTCAAAAGAAAGGTCTTACCTAAACATTGCAGTCCCTGCTTTCCAATCCCCCTGCATGAAAGAAAAAGGGAAAGAAACGGTTAGCTTGCACAAAGCGTAGGATGCCTGCTTAAAGAGCACTGAGCTAGCACATTTCTTCAATGTGGCCTTCACAAATGCATATGTATGCTGTAGAACAGGAGGAAGATAAAGAAGAGATTTTGCTAGACTCTTGAGAAGATATTTATGCCCAGTAGTTAGAATGCCTGGAAAATACCCAATCTTGTGTCCTCCAGAAATACTGGACATCGTTTCCATGCATTCCCAACAACGGCCACTCCTATATTACCAGGGAGTTCTGGGAATTGACGTTCAACACATCTAAAGAGCACCAGGTGAGGAAGCTGCTAGATGGACTTCAGAAATGTCAAAATCTCTGAGAAAAATCAAGGTTTATGCACCTTTTATCCATATAAGACAGTGCTCATCCATCTGAAATAAAGCCTGCCTACGGTTCCATACTCTCCATAAACAATGGGGCCAAACCAACCATTTTACTACTTTGACTGTGATTAACACTGCAGTTATGAATGCTTAGTTAGACATCCTACTGTGTTCAATGGGGCATGCTTAGAGCTATATAGCAACCAGGGTGGGAGGATAAGGCTATCTATGGCTTGTCATCCCAAAGGCTAAGTATCTCCTCCATTATGGTTCTTAAGACACAGGAGCTGAAGGACACAAGCAGGAAGGTGAGCCACTGACCTCAAGTTTTGCTTGTGGGTTTCCCAGACACACACCACTGACTATTGTGGGAACAGAATACTAGATGCAATAGGCCTTTGGAATGATTTAGCATAGCTTTTCCTGCGTTGTTATGTACAGCAAGGATCCCAGCATTCGGAGCTACATAAAAAGTCAGCTAGTCAAATTCATCTCCTTGTCACCATTTCTGGCAACTAGAAGCCAGTTCTTTTAGCATTTCGCTAGTGAGATCAATCAAAAGCTAGAGAGACAGGCAGACGGATGTTAAGTTGGCAAATCTTATGTCAACACACAAGGAGAAATCTATCTATCTATCTATCTATCTATCTATCTATCTATCTATCTCTATCTCTATCTCTATCTCTATCTCTATCTCTATCTCTATCTCCTCTGCACTTATCAAAATACAGTACTGGCTATGGTACTTGCTTCCCCCATCTTAAGTTTCAGCACTTGGATTTATATTTAGAAATGCACAGAAGGAATAAACAAGCCAAGCAGGTTATGACAGAAGCAATTCCAACAAGGGAAGAAGACAAATAACATTAGGCTAGAAGAATGAGGTTGCAAGCATTTAAGCAAGCCAAGCACAAAGAATCTCACATGGTACCTTGTGATGCATCGTTAAATGGTATGTCCTATAGAGGGAAGCAATCTGGGCTGCCAGAGGAGGTGTAAATCAAGTTTAGAAATAACAAGATATTAAAAACATCATGCTGCGAAGAATTTAGATGGCAGGGTCTTGGATTCTTAGTAAGGCTGCAAGAACAAGAACTACGGCTGTTTGCCTTGAGCCCACAAAGCAAGTTCTCCCAGCTTCTTCTCCTGAGTGTGACATGGCCCCCTTGCCTGGTTCACCAGAACTCTTGTCATGTACCATAACACTACATTTTCTCCAAGCTTCATACATTTTCTAAACAACCTCTTAGCTCTCTGAAAGAAAGAAACACCGTTCCTGATAGAGACTAGGTGCCTTCAGAAGCTGGATGACACTGTCGACGTTCAACATCCAACTTGTTCATCACCTCACCTCAAGTCCAAGATAAAGTTTAACTGTTGGATGTCTGCAGACATTAAAGCAGGATTGGGGAACCTCTGACCTGCAGGTTTAACCCACTCCATCTGCTCTGGTGAAGCCCCCTCCCCAGCAGCTCAGCGGGGAGGGGACATGCTGCGCAGCTGAAGCCACATCATGGAAAGTGAATCCAGGCATTCTGGCTCTCCAATTTGTCCTGCAAGGGCTGCCCCTCTTATGATTTAAGGCAGCGTTTCTCAACCTTGGCAACTTTCAGAAGTATTGACTTCAACTCCCAGAATTTCCCAGCCAGCATGTTTGGAATTCTGAGAGGTGAAGTCCGCGCATCTTAAAGTGGCCAAGGTTGAGAAACACTGATGAAAGGCACAGAAGTTCTGTTATGAGGGAAGAGCAGCATGAGATTCACACCTACCAGGAGGTCCAGTGTGAGAAGGTCTAGTCTGTAGGAGCAACCCTATAAAACAGCTTGTCTCCTGAGAGAAGCATAACCCCATCTTTCATGGCTTCCTGGAAGCTAGTAAAAATCTGGAGGGCCTTTGGGATTGAACCGTGGCCTGTATTAGTTAATGTATTAATGGAAATTATAAACTATGGCCATTATTACCGTAATTTATGATTGTTTACTCCTGTTGTTTTAGTATGTTTTTCGTTATCGGTAAACTGTCTAGCATCTTTCTGGACTGAGGTGGGGAAAATAGCATAATAAATAAGGTTGCAGATGTGGGGGGCAAGATTTCTGTGATAGAGAAGTAGCTGGTCCTCCTTTTAATTAAAATTGCAATCCTATATGAATCTTCCTGGAAGAAAGTTTCACTGAATTAAATGAGAATTACTTCTGGAAAGACATAAAATGGATTGCACTATGAATCAACCATCTCCTTGGTTCCATATTAATCATCACTAGCAAAGATTTGAACTGTAACTGTGCTATGCCGTGAGATAAATCAATTAAATAATCACAGCCTTCCCGTTGGCTGAAACTGCCCATATGCCAAAGGAGTTTGCTCATCTGTCTCTGAATGAGTCGCTGCTCTTACTGTATCATTTCTTATACACTTTCTGCTGGGAATTGCATACTACTTCCACATCAGGTCAACATGTCTCTAAATAGTTGATCAAGGACAGCTAATTTATCTCCAGAAATCCAACAGATTCTGTCCAGTTACCTTAAGAAAATGGAATGGAGCAATTAAAATAGGGCTTATTTCTGCAGATTTGACAAATGTTTTGAAGAAGACAGACTTAAATTCCATTTTCCCTTCAGAAAGCAAAGATTCATGGGAAAAAGGTGGTTTGATTTCTCCATTTCTAACTGTTAGCAATCTTCCTAAAAACTCCAGGGTGCGTTTCTAAGGTTTTACATGGCTTGGTACCCTAAGTCAGTGTTTCTCAACCTCGGCAACGTTAAGACGTATGGACTTCAACCCCCAGAATTCCCCAGCCAGCAAACACTGACTTAGGGTATAAGCACATACCACATGAAAATACTACTACTCCTACTACTACTCCACCACCCACTTTACAATGATAAAGGATTCAGGGGCAGAGTCTACATTAGACCTCCTTTTCTTCCTAAGACATCGCTCAGCTGATGTCTGGGACAGCATGCCCCCAGAGATATGGACAGCGCCCACTCCTAGGGTTCCAAAAAGCACTCATGACCTGGTTTTAGTCTCAGGCCTGCGGTTGTAGGGTCCCTGGTTTGGTTTGATTTATTGGTGCTGTTTATTTCAGTCCAGGTTGCCTATGGAGTTGTACGTCCCAGTGTTTTTCAACTTTAAGATGTGTGGACTTCAACTCCCAGAATTCTGCACATCTTAAAGTTGCCAAGTTTGAAAAACACTGAAACTGTTTTATTGTATTTGTAAGCCACCCAGAGTCTATTGGAGTGGGTGGCTATAATAAATTTAAAATTATTGCTATTGGATTATCATCCATCAATTTATTATTCACTAAAAACAGATTGCACACACTGCACTCCACCCAGCCCTCCTGACAATGTTTTCCCTCTCAAAAATCAATTTTCTCCCTGGCTGATGTTATGAAATTTCTTTCACCCAACTCCAGCTTCCATGCACTGCCCTGTACACTACTTTTATAAGCCGAGAAAATCAAACCAAGGATTTTTTTAAAACGTTGCAAAACTAAGTACATTGACTTGACTGGTTTCCTTGATAAGACTAGATGTGAAATTGATAAAGGGGTCAATCCCTGTGGGAATGACGGATGGCTACGTACACTGCTTCTCCCAAGGGATTACTGGATAGAAAAGTGTTATTTATATATTTGTTCTGGTATTAATTGCTTTAAAAAAACAAAACAATCCAGACTTCTGCACATTTGCAAACAGCAAATTTAATTTAAAAACAAACGTAGCAGCAACTGGAATCTGCAGTTGTAGTGCTGTTGCAACCACATCAAAAAAACCTCGTGGCTTTTGTAACATCTCCTGCTCCTCCTGTGGTTGCAAGATGTGTGCTTTTCGTTCACATTTCAAGGGCAGTGAATATTGAACATTTCCGATTCTGTCCTTAGCAGCTGCATTCTAGATCAAACAGCCGCTGCTGGGCTATAGAGACATACGAGGGAGTCAGTGTGGCCCCTGTTCTTTTAATATAAAGGACGAAGAATAATGATTTAATCAAAGGATGTTTTTGCTTGTTTGTTTACATAAGGAAGAGCCTGTTACGTGGAGGTCACTTCAGGAGCTGCCCATAATTTACTTGGAGGGAAATATACAATTTTACAACTTAACTAGGTCTTCCTTCAAGCTTCCCCTTACATTTACCCTGTTCAATAACCTCAAGAGATACTGAAGAATAAAGTTTTTCTTCTCTTTGGCTTCCTTTCAGATTTTATAAATCTTTTGCCTTTTTCTAAAGATTTCCACAGAATAGCAAAACACAACTATTTGGACTGTTCTTCATGTGGGAGTAAGTGGAAGAGCATTTTCTTATCATTCCAGATCTGTCATACAGCCAGATGTTTGTTTCACTTAGATGATTCTTATTTTTGCTCGGGCATGCATGCTTTTGAAAAGCGATGCCAAAATCAGCTGGCACGTCTGTGTGCGTGCGTGCACCTGTGTGGTGTGTAGTTTGCACTGCTCCTGTCTTATTCACACTAACTTACTTTAAAGTAAGGTGATAATGCTGCTCTCCACACCTTAACATTTTTTCACCAGCTTTTATCTGAAGATAAAGCGGCTGTAAAAGCTATAAGAATAGGCTACGGGTTATTTTTTTTCTAGCAGCTTGTAAGAAGAAAAAGA